CAACCTCACTGACTCTGACACACCTAATCCCACCGCTCTAGTTATGGTGTCAACCCATCTTATCTGTGGTCTTCCTCTCTTGCACCATTCTCCACCCTTTCAAGCATGATGTCATTCTCGAAGGACTCATCCTTCCTGGCCATGCGCCCAAAGTATTTGAGATAGAGCTTCAAAATCCTTGTCTGCAAGGAGAAACTTGGTTTCCATCCTCTCCAAAACAGAACTATTTGTTTCCCTGTTGGTCCATGATATGTTCAATACTCTTCTCCAGAACTACAACTCAAAGGCATCAATTCTTCTTTTGTCACCTGTAATCACTTTCCAGCTCTCTGATGCCTAGCATGCAATTGTGAAGACCATGACCTTGATCAGGTGCACTTTAGTCTCTAGACTGACATCATTGCTCCTCAGCACTCTGGAGAGGTTCCTGACAGCAGACTTCCCCAGTGCAATTCATCTTTAGATTTCTTGACTGCTAGTGCCAAGAGTGTTGACAGTGGAGCTAAGTAAGTTGAAATTGCTAACAAACTCAGTCTCTATCATGGTGCTGCCAATTGGCCCAGTGGTGAGAATCTTCTTGATCTTCTCCATATTGAAGGCTACCGTCTTTGATTTCTGAAGCAAATGTTTTAGATCCTTCTCAGTGTTGGCAAGCAAGGTTGTATCATCAGCATAATGTAGAGATTGCAGAGATTACTGAAGATATTATAACCTTGGAACCACTATGGAGCAGTTCAACTTGGTCCTACAGGATCACATGGCTTGGAATCAACTCGAAGGCAGTGGTATGGGGATTCTGCTGTTGCTGTTTCTCTTTGATTCTTCCATGAATCATCATGGCAGGAAGAAATAGCTTCATCATTGAACTTAACTCCTGTACGTTCTCTGTCTTCTTCAGCCTCCATATTCAAAGGCAGCTCCCAGATCAGCAACATCAGCATCAATCAGGATCTTGCCAGAAATGCTGAAACTCAAGCCCTGAACTCAGATCCAGAGTCAGCACCACATTTTAAACCAGATTCCAAGGTGATTCGTGCCCTCTTTAGAGTATGAACAGAATTGTGTGGACATTTTACTATTTACATTCATACCTTATTTTGTGTTGTGTATATGAAAGCCACGACAGGCACTGACCTTCTCTCCATTTTGGTTCCACTCCACATCCCTTTGCCTTTCACTAAAGATTTACTGAGCATAAAAGCATGAAAATAGTGGGTTTGCTTTTTAGTCTCAGTTTGCAAAGCTAGAACATCAGATATTATTACTTTGCCTCCTCCATTATGTGTTAAAGAGTCCTGGTGGTGTACTGTGTTATGTTTTGTGCTGCTGACTAAAAGGTCAGTGGTTCTAATCTACTAGTTGCTCTCCAGGAGAAAGATAAAGCCACTTCCTCCTGTAAAGACTTATAGTCTTGGAAACCCAACGGAGAATTATCATTAGTTGGAATCCATGAGGGCTGTAAATTTGGGAGCTTTTATTAATTGGCTTGCTTGTTGAATATTATTCAGCTTCCTTCAAATAATGATGACCATTCGGGCCATTTACTGAATGCTTATTGTACAAGGATTTCCTCTTCATGGACATTCCTTATAGTGGAAGTGACTTACCAAGGTTGTTTGTAACTTGGCAGTTTGTTTCTCCTTGACTCAAGAATTGGAAATCCTCCCAGGAGGAGCTTAAAAGAGAAAGGACCCTAGAACAGGTGCAAGCAGCCAGACCTGCCAAACTGGCAGTCATGTCCCCTGGGCTGACAGAAGGTGCACTGTGTGTGCTAGCAGGCAATGGCTGGACTTCAATGCCCCTATGACTGCCATGTGCAGTGACAGACCAGATGAGGCTTTGGTGGGGACGGAGCATAGAGACCAGCAGACTCTACTGCTGAATGAAAAATTAGGGCACAAATGCTTTACGTAAAGGATCAGATCCAACCAGCACTGTACCGCTAAAGGACTTCATTATGAGCAGATGCATTTTCTAGAACTTGAGGGAACAAAAGAAAGCCAAAGATCCAGCAATCTTTTGACATCATAAGAAAAAGTAACCAGAAATACTTGCAGTATTAAAATAATCACTTGCACTCCAAAGCAGTGAGACATAAATTAACATTAAATCAGCCTCTTGAAAGTGCCAGACACTCCTAAGTTCTTTGCAGATATTATCAAATTCTCAACAAATCAATACAAAACTTCTTCCTATTATTTTTGCACATGTAGTTAACTAGGGCAAAGAAGAGGGAGTCCCGGTGGCTTAGTAATAAGGAACCATGTTCTCAACTCAGAGGTATCCAGTTTGAATCCATCAGTTTCTTTTTGGGAGAAAGATGGGCAGTCTTTTTCCCTGTGATTTACTGCCTCTGAAAACACCCTAGGGGTGAGCTATGGGTCGGATCTACCTCAATGGTATACATCAACAACAAGGCAGAAAAGGTTAAGCACTTTATTCAAGACCATACAACTAATATGCAGTCAATTCTACCTTTTAAACAAATAATTAGGCTTGAAACTCCATGGGTGTACCTGCTATTTCTGCTGTGTTTAAGGCAAACTGAGGCTTCATGATCAATTTCATCCAGAGTTACAGAAAATAAGAAAGTTGTCATTTTCAAGGCTTTGAATAGATTCAGACCAGCTCAGTTATGACTTATGAAACAATAGTGGAATGAACTAGAATTTTTAAAAGGTGGGTGAACTGGAACACTAATTGGGAAACATTATAGGCTGAAGTCATGCTGTATAGTTAATACCCCATTTAGCAAACAGGGGCAGTGTGCACACGGTCAGCAGTTAAGTCTCTTGACCAGCTAAGTTGAAAACAATGGTGTGTGGCTCAAAGACAGTGGTCATTGCTTTGGACATTTACGGCCCAACATAATCTAGTCCATTCTGGTTAGTATTTCCAGATCACTGAAATTTGAAAAATTTGGATCCATTCCAGTTTCACTTTGCTGGCAAGACTGATCAAGTCTGAAGTCTTGTTGTTATATTTACTACTTATTCTTTTAATTTTTGTTGTTGATTGACTTTGAGATGAGCACAACTCACAGCGACCCTTTAGAAAGGCCTGAAGCCTTTCTATTAACTATCAATATTTATCCAAGTTCAGAGTTTCCGGAGGCATGTTGTTCAGGAATTGGAAGCCACTCCTGCCTCCATTCTTTTAATAGATTTAAATTACTATGTGCCCCATTTTGAATATGGAATTTATACCAACTAATCTTGGAGCAAAGAAACATCATTTAATTTTGATTAGAATCAAAATTGGATCTCCAGGAGTATAGCAGCTTAGTAATAACCTCCTTTGTAGCCTTTACTTTTTCAAAGTCATCAAGTGTGATGTATGGATATTTCATGTGTCAGCTGAGGAATGGGCCATCAGCAGTGTGGTGTGACAGGAGGAGAAAAGGGCAAAGGTGAGGCTTTAGAAGGTCCCCCCCTAGCTCCCTCCACCACCCCGCTCCGGCTTCAGACAAAAGCTTTCTGTCTTCCTGATGTCACAGACGTCAAGAGTGATCAGTTTTAGAAGTGATGTTAGATTTGTTAAAGGGGCTGTATTACTATATTAGTTATTTCTGGAGAAGTGGTGCTTCCCAAAGGGAATTGCCAAGTCAGCCCAAACAAATCCTTAATCTTCTTCATGAGCTGCTGTCTAATGAATGATAAGGAGACATCACCTTCAACAATTAATAAGGTAAATCACTGTCAACAAAAGCCGTAAGAATCCTGTTTGGAAGAGAAGGTGAACACTCATAAATTGTGGTGAATTGTATGCTCCTAAGATTGCATAAGAAAGGCTTCTTAAGAGGTTTTCTTGTTCTGAGTGGCTCATAACTTCTGTCTTTAGTAGAATTTTGCAATTCAAGATCACTGTATAATAGTAGGTTTAGAGGAGCAAGGCTGACAATCCAAGACACTTCCTTGGGTAAATATTTTCTCTTCGCTGACCAGTCACTGAAGTAGCAAAGATTTGACAGCAACAACAAAAGAGAGAAGCTTGAATATAACATTACAAACTAAGAAAATTTATAAATCCTAGACTACTCACATATGGAACAAAATTATTTAGAAGATTAATCCGAGCAAAAGCACCAAGTGTTAAAAAAGACTTGATCCATTTTTATGATAACCATTCTAATTAATGACTGTAGTCTTGTTGGAGCTATTTTTATCACTTTATAAATTGCCTGTACACTAAGATGCAGCTTATTTCTTCTTAATGATTGGTTAATTGTGCTTTACCTTCCTCCCTTCGGCATACCTAGGCAATTTATAATAACCTCAGAGAGAAACTAATTTCCATCCAGATAAAAATCCAGTCTTGGGTAAGAAAACACAGTTGAAAGCTTTGCTCGGAGAAAATAATACAACACATAATTAAATCTCTGCTCTCTTATTTTCTCTTATGAGCCAAAAATACAAATTTCGGAATAATTCCTAAGCATCATAGAGTTGCTTTTCTGACATCAAAAGTTAGACTAAAATTGCCTTTTATTAAAAAATGAAATTATTTACATAGAAATTAAAACTACAGGATATTATCCTAGGGGAAAAACTCATCAGTCAATGTGAGCTTCAGTAAAATAAGGTTTTAAAGGAAAAAAATATATTCAATTCAGTCTTATAGAGGTAGAACCTTTTGAGGCTATTTTAAGAAACAAGCTTAAAAGAGTACTCTCCAATTCATAACAAATTTCCTGTCTGCAAATGACAAATTCAGTAACTACATCAATTTAAGATAAAACAAATGATGGGAAAATTAAAACAAAACAAAACAAAACAAAACAAAACACCCCAACAAACCAATGTAATATGCAGGGATAGATAGAAGAAAATCACACACCCAAGTAAAACAATAATAGTAACAGATTATGTTGAACCACTGTAAGACAGAAAGGAAATTGACCAAAATAATCCTGCTGTCCGTCACCAAGTTCCAGGGTGTGACTCATTTACTCAGAAGCAAAGGTTCCCTTACAGTATCAGTGGAGAGCAAAGCGTACTGACCTTTTTTGGCGAGGCTACTGTTGGGTTCATATTTCTCGATCAGAACTTGCACTTGCTCTTGTTTTAAAGGTGGATAAAGGATTTCATTTAGGCGGGGATCTCGCTGCTTAAGGTTGATAAAATCCATCATCTGATCAACAGTCAGGTATGGTTTGCTTTTGGCACCACTAAAACAAACAAACAAACAAACACACAAGAAAATCAGAAGGTATTCTACAAAATTCCTTTCATCTATATGGAATTATATTCTGACCTATCAATTTAAAGACTAAGATGGACCTGACCCAAGTCATAGTGTTTTCAATTGCTTCCTATGTATCTAACAGTTGGACAATGAAAAGGGAAGACAGAAAGAATGGATGCCTCTCAATTGTGGTAATGGTAAACAGTAGTGAATATCTCACGGATTGCTTAAAGAATAAACACATCCACATTGGAGGAAGTACGAACAGAGGGCTCCTTAGAGGAAAGGATGGTGTGACTTCATCAAATACTTTGAACATATGATCAGTAGAGTCCAGTCTTTGGCAAAGGAATATCATGCTGGGAAATGTCAGGGAAAGAGAAAGATCTTTTAAGAGATGGATTAACCAAGTGATTTTAAAAATGAGCTAGAACATAGTAGAAATTGTGAGGATGGTACAAGATAGGACAAGGTTCAAGTCTGCTGTTCACAGGGTTGCTATGACTTGTAGTCGACACAATAGCACCTAATAACAATAATATAAACAGTGCAAGTCTGAAAACCCACTGGAGGGCCAGCTATGAGTCAGTTCCAATTTGGCGGCACACAGCAACAACCACCACCAACGTAAGATACGTTTGAGCTATAACCAACTACACTTATAATTGTTCGGCTTACTGCTGATGTTTTATTTTTTTTTTTAATGCCAACAGTATCTTATTGTTAGTCAACAATGCTTTGTGTGAAGTAGGGAATGATGCATTTTAAATGTTATAGAAACATCTAAATTATAAATTATCACACTGACTAATTTTCTACCTTTGAGTTATTTAATATGTTATTGTTTCACTTCCAAATCTATGCTTCTCCTTTGCCTCTTATGTCACTATCACTGGCACTGGTTTTGCTGCTCTGGGGAATCATGACATATTTCACAGCATTTCCAAAATAAAGTCAGATAGAAAGGTAACTCCAATAAACATAATGCCCTAAAATATAATACTTTTAAACTATTTTCAATGCTGTAAACATATTTCATCCAGTTTTTCTCAGTCTTAGGGCATTATGTTTATCATAAGAGTACAGAATGAGGGTTTCAGAGTGGATTATAATTGGGGTTGGGAGTGTGGTTGGGGGATGTGGGAGGGGATTATGTACCAATGAGGGAGTTTTTCTTTTGCTTTTGAAGGAGAGGAGCAAAGGGGTGGGGTGTGGGGGGAGAGGGGTGGACGGGGAGAAGGGTGCAACAATGAATGAATAGAATTCCAAAATCTCTGTAGATGTCCATTGAAATGAAAAATAAATACATGAAAAAAATGAAAAAAAAAAAACCCAAAATGCCATTATTAAATCATATTATGTTTTGTGAGTAGTTATCTATTTAATGAGATGGATGCATTTCCATATTTTATAAAAATAAAGGAATAATTTATGATACAAAAAAAGAAAGGTAACTCCGTATACTAACATGGCATATGATGCATGAGATGAGATCAAAACATACAATGTTAGATGATAAACTCTTTGCTTTTAAAATAGGAAAAGGTTACATTCAAATGGCTAGGAGGTATAGGCTAGCCCATATATAAACCAGTAATAGATTTTTTTAATTATTGTTAACTACAAGGCTGAAAATCTCTGGTGGTTCAACTCCACCGATGGTTCCAGTCCACCAGTGGCTCCAGTAATTTACAGTCTTGGAAACCTGATGGGGAGTTGCCATAAGTTGGAACAAACTCTATAGCATTGATGTTGAGCTAGAACAAGCCTTACAATAGTCATGCTGAGCTTGAGCTTTGATGTAGCGTTTGATGCATCATTATAAATCTAGAAGCACTGGAGCCTTCTGTACAAGAGACATGAAATATACACTGTGTGTGGGAAGCTGCTGTGTTCGCTAGCTCTGGTTATGTGTACCTCTCTCATGACAGTCAAACAAGTGTTGAGGACTTTCATTCACAGGGTTGCTATGAGTTGCCTATGACCTGATGGCAGTTAACAACAATAACATCAACACAGAGAGAGATCAGCTGGCCCAGTGGAATGAAAGTGATGCTGCCAAGCCAAAGGTGGGTGACTAATCTGCAGCCCTCATACCTGTTTTTCATTATTTTTGTTCAAACATTCTTCTAGGTCGTATAGCCCTGGTGTGTCTACTTGCTGTACAGAGGTAACTAGTGGTTGCTGTGAAGCTGAACACTGTGACACTGATGTGTCAAATGCATTAATGATTACCTGTAGTGGACAGTGTTTGGTGGAGCTCCCCAATTAAAACAAGCTTGAAAGCAGGAGTAGCACCCACTTCCATAGATAGCTTGACTCCAGAAACCCTATGAACCTGGAGAATGGATGAAAGTCATGCAAGTGTTGAGGACTTTCGTTCATAGGGTTGCTATGAGTTGCCTACGACTCGATGGCACTTAATGACAATAACAATAACCTTTTGAGAACATACATGTATATGTGGTCAGATGTTGCCTAAATCATGTAACACAGGACATGATTGTACATCTTTCTGGGAGGACATTAAAGGGAAATGCATACTAATGAAACGGGAAATAATGCTGAGTTAGGCAAACATGCTCCAAGTATTCAGTCAACATAATCTGATAGAAGAGTTTGGTGGAAAACACATTAAACATGGTGAGGATGCCAAATTTAGAGTGTGGCATTGCCAACGTGGGCAGCTCATCATCATTTGACACATTGCCACTGAACTGAACCAACCCATAGTGACCCCGCCTCCCCACCCACGGGGAGTCCTTTAGCAGTAAGTCATGTGGAAGGAAACTGACCATCTTTTTATTTCAGAGCAGCTAAGGTATTTGAACTGCTGATCTTTGAGATTACAGTGTAACTCCATGCCCACAAGGCCATCGAGTTTTCCTAAGACATAGACACACACAAAAAATGGGGACCAATAAATCATAAATTAATGAGTTTTGAAGAAGAAAGAAATGTCTGAGGTGGGAGTAAGCAGGGTTGAAAGAATGAGGAAAAGGAAGGCCAGAAGTTGTTAAAAATGTCACAGTCAAAGGATCAAATGGAGTATTTTTAAAACTAAATTTGGGACTCCAGCTGCTTGAAATCATGGAGCCATACACCGAACATATTCTACAGTTGATGGACAAATTTGGGAATCATGAGATGTTACTGGGAAAGATGTGAAGAAACAAAACAAACAGGCAGACAATTCTCATCTTCTGGCTAGAAATGCCAATTGTATTCTAAAAATAATAGCGATGATCTAGAACTTGCCATATGGGGAGTTATTCCCACAACTGACAAGGTGCACACAGTGTCTACCACTTCTGCATATTTTCATGATTTGTGCATTTTTACATACAGAAGCTTCAGTGACCTAGTAGCAAGGAGTCACACTGTCTATTCGTCTCAGACTCTTCGAACCACTCAGAGTCACCAGAGGAGCCTAAAACAATACTCAGCAGTAAATCACAGCAAATCCTGCTCATTAAAGGAGGGGTTGAACGCCGGGAACAAGGATAGGTGATCATCTTCAACAGAGTTCTACCAGAACCCTGCCCTCATACAACGTGTCCCTGGGTCATTACCTCTTCCTCTGCTACTGCTCTAAATTCCTCCCTCTACTCTGGCAAGCCCTCTCAATGTTAGTTAAAACCTGTTTTCTTACAATTCGGAAAAGATGTTATCAATTTCAGGTCGAGGGCAAAGATTGTTCAGGAAAACTCTGTACACTTCTGGAGTGAAATCCTCTTGAGGTATGGATTCATTCTGTAAAATACAAGAGAAGTGTCAGTGAATGATCTTTCACTTCCTCACCTCTCTCTTCACCTGCTTTCTTTCTCCATCTTCCTGCCTTTTCTCCCTGTCTCTCTTCCTTCCTCTCACTTCCCTCAGTTTACCTGCTTTCCTTCCTTCTTCCGGAACAGCAGGCTGTTCACTTAGGCTAACTCCCTGAGACCAAAATCAGAGTTAAGTATGAACATATGCTCTGGAGTTTAAAAAGGTTTATATTTTGTTGTATTTTCACTTTAGTTTTAAGTTGAGGATGCTGTTTCTGATTAAAAAAAATAAAAAAGTGAATACCAATCTCCTAAAAACATTTTCTAGAATAAGTTAGACCTATGGAAAATCCAAAACAATAACTGTTTAGCAGATATTAAAAATTTTCTTTTATATTGGTTTGCATATCAAATTTGTATATCATTTCATTCATGTATGTTGTGTTTCACATGATCATTCATATATATTGTATTTTATAAAATTAATCACCATGATCTATGTCTATTATTAACCAGTCTTTTCAGGGCTCCACTGAACCTTTCCTTATGCCTTTGCCCCTCCCTCTGCCCCCCTGCACTGTCATCCCCTCCCCACACTGCTCTTCTGCCTACCTCCCCTTCCCCTTTTGGACTTGGATAATTAGTAAGATATTTAGCAGATTTTTGAACAAATAAGAGTAAAACACCTAGAGACAGCCACTATCAAAATGCTAATATAAATTCCAATTTTATGTCATTATTTCCAAATAATGTTTCTTCTGGCTTAAATAATCTGACAAATTGTAAAGCAGTTTTCATAAATAGGACAGTCATTATTTTCTCTTGGCCTTATTGTTTGGGAGGCACGTCATGTGTTGGAAGAACCACTTCTCTGACTAATTCTTCTGTTTGGTTGGGCTGCCATGGAGACCGGAAGTGAGTAGTCAAGCCTTTGTTAACAGGAAGGCCATTTTTCATGCTGTTTTCCTGTTTCAGGTGTGTGTCTGTATGTTTATATTTATTTTCAAGGTCTTAAACGTAAAACATCCTTCCTTTGACTATATTCATACATTTTTTTGCAGTGCACATTTATAGAAAAAAAAAAGTCTAAAACTTATTATCCAGGTTATTGCCTGGAATTTTCTACAGCATGCCAAGAGATAAGAGATCTTAGCTCACCTCTTGGCTTCGAACAGGATCCCCATATTGTGATGAAAAAAAATTACTCTATTTCATTTTCTACTAGCTCCACTTACAGAAAAAGCAAAAATCTATTTTGCAATTCATTTTTTCAAAAGATTCTTTTGAGATAAGCAAAGAACACAGAAAGACACTAAGTGTGATGGATGCCACCAGCAGGTTTCGTTACTTGGACACCAGCTTTGAAATCATGAGCATAAGATACGAGGTCAAGAACAATAGAAGACTCCCATGGATTGTTTCCTTGTTCTGCCACTAATAAAATCGAGGCACGTATAGCCTGTTAACAGGAGTTTGAATTTCCATTTCATTTTCAAAAATGTAAATGTCACGGGTCAGTGAAGTCCTTCTCCTACGTTAACCATCCTTACTTTTTAAACAGGTGGAATGATGAGGTCAGATTGTAAGGGAGATGTGGAAAGAATTCCCTTCTTTCATGCAAAGACCTAGGTTTAAGTCCTCGTCACTTAATTCCTCCTGGAGTGCAGGTTTGCTTGTAGCTATGAGGGTGAACAGGCTGCAGAAGAGCTGTCAGATGGGCTAGGAAAAAAGACCTGGCAATCTACTTCTCAAACCCAGCCAACAGAACTGTGGCTCACAACCTTTGTGCAAGAGGGAAGATCTGAGAGCCTTTACCACATCCTTGTCTAGCTGAGTGGCATCGAGAAGGATTTGAAAATCAACGATAATACTTTACCTACTAAATCAAGTGAATCTGATTTTATAACCCCATGTATATCCTCTAAGTCTTTCTATTAAATAGAGCTTACCGTTTCTCAATTCCCCAACTATCTTAGTACATGTGCAAATAGATTTTATCTTATGATATCTACAATGACTCTTTTCTTTTATTGATCTTTCTTCCTACTTAGTTTAAAATATCTTCCTCTGGAAAACCTTTACTTCTATCCAGACTAGGTTTTATCTTCCATGTCTGCTCCCACCTCACATTCACATATAAGATGTTTCCACACATGTAACCTTGTTGTATTCTCTGCAAACTTGCTCCACAGAAGCTAGTCTCTATGTGCTGTTTGCTGCTCTCTCTCTAGTATTTAACACAGGCACTCATTTTATTAGATGAATGAATAAAATTTTTAATGAATGTAATTTACAATGGTTTATAAATTATAATGAATAGAATTAATAAATTAAATTTATAAACAAGGTATAATTTTACAGTGAGAACTTTTGTGTTGTATACTTTCTTACTCTACCATGACTTAAAAGATCAAAGTCATCTACATGACCTAGAGACATAATTTCTACAAACAATGTTTTATTGACACTCTAGCCATTATTTTCTTACCAGGTGGAATTAGGAATAATTACTTAAGGGGATAATTTATTGAAATACTCTTAAAAAATGCATTCTTCCTATTCTCAGATGGATTTTGGCACAAAACCAAAAAAAATAAGAGAAACATTTCAAACAAGTTTGTTTACTTTCTCTAAGTTTTCTCTTTCCCAGGTGGACTAGCAAGGATGGAGTCAGCGGGGGGGTGGGGGGTGGGGGGGGAAAGGTGAGACAAATTTTGTAGAATGAAGTTGAAATGAGCAGCACTGAAAACTGTAAAAATTACAGAGAGGGTATTTAGCGAAAATATAATTAATGACATTTTTAACAAAACTGTAATTCACAAACACAAAGTTAATTCATACATCCTGTCCTTTTTTCAAATTTATTATTAATTTCAATGAAATTTACAGAGACTTTGGATTTCCATTCATTTATTGTTGCACTTTTCTCCCCTCCCAATCCTCCCTGCTAGTACACTACCCTCTTGGAAAAGTAAAAGAAAATTCTTTCATTGTTTTACAATCCCTCCCCCTATGTTCATTCCACCATGCAGCCTTCACTCTGGACTCCTGTCATGACAAAAATACCTAATCACATATGCCTTTTAAGCAGTTTTCTCCCTCTTCTGTTTCAATGCAATATATATAATTGAACCCATCTTTCTCAGTCTCCCCCCAACCCCGAGGTCAGTCCTGTTTTACAACAGTGGCACCATGTAGTATTTGTCCTTTTGTGATCAAGATTCCTTACTCAGCTTAATGTCCTCCAGGGTCACCCATTTTGAATAATATTGCATGAGTTTTTGTCCTTTTGAATCTCATGACTTGGTGAAGTAGATGGCACTGATTAATTTCTCCTGTCAACCAATAGATATTCTCTATCTGCAGTATGCTGTGTGTCATATAATACTAAATTAAAAAAAAAACACTAACTGCTATTAAGTTTATTCTGACTCATAGCAATCCTGTGGGGCAGAGTAGAATTATAAAAGATTGACAAGATTTCTATTATAAAACTGTAGTAGATTCCCAAGGCTATAAATCTTTATGGAAGCTGGCTGTCTCATCTTTCTCCCAAAGTGTTCTTGGTGGGTTCAAACCATAAACCTTTTCTTCTGCAGCTAAAAGCACTGACC